AGGACAAGCTTCGCCTTGCCCGATGGCCGGGGGCAGAGTCCGCCTCGCCCGACGATTACACCCTGCTCCTTTATAATGACGAGCACAAGGTACGACAGGACATTCAAGTCAAACGCAGTACCTAGGACCATGCCCTGCACCGCTGCAGAAAAGTACTGTCATGGTACGACGGGACGGGCGCTTTAGGCCATTCCGGGCGTGGTAGAGTCCGAATAGTGTTGTAGGCGTCGCCTTTAGCCCTCGGACACGGAACCTACATATGACAACCACTATGGTCCAAGAAGAGACTCGCGCCCTCTACAGTGACGAACGTACAGTCACCGCGTCGTCCACTCCCCACAGGGCTACAGGTCAACACCCTTGTCCGACACGCCGCCCGGAGGGGTGGGACGGGATGTGACCACTTGCTGATCCGGTAAGGGCATGGCGTCGTCAGCACATAGGTGTCCGGCGAACGTGCCAATCCCTGACACCGTCTGGCCGTGTCAGCGTGGCTGGCTCAGCGGAAAAGGAGGGCCCAACATCTTCGGAGGGGCTTCTTGGCCTCTGGTTTTTCTCCTTTCTCCAACATGTAAACCCTGCTCCCCCTTGGTCTATAAAAGGGAGGGCAGGACACCCCGCTAAGGAGGCGGAGAAGCTCACAGAGAGATGAACCGACACAACTCAACAACACACATCACACACAGCTGAGCAGCGACCAAGCTCTCGGCAACCTTTTGACTAATCCATCAGAGACTTGGGACCCGTTCCTCTCTCAACCATTTGCACCCCCTACTACGAACCATTTTTGGCACTGATAACACGAGCAGCAGCAGACTGGACGTAGGGACATTCGGCCTGAACCAGTATAAACCTCATGTCCTTTAGTGCACTATCTGGGCCTAACGCGCAACAATTATAAATTTACTAGACGATGTTTGTTCGAAACACCGACACGAGCGTCGTCCCCTCTTTGGCCAGGCCTTCCGGTCAGAGACTGGATCGCTCTTTCGGCCTGTCGTTAGGTATTTGGGCCGGCTCAGGAGTTGCGCGTCGTTCGTAATGTCGTCTGCTGGGCCGAGCTCTTGCTGGGAAGCGGGCCAATTAGGGACCCCGGGTTTATGAACCCGACAATGGCCCTGTTCGCTTGTCTTAAATTTGGCTTGTTCGGCTTATTTTTTCAGCCGCAACAGTATTTTTCTCTCACAACAATTCAGCCGGAACAGTGTTTTTCAGCCAGTTTCAGCTAAAGTTCAGACCAGCGAACGGGGCCAATAGGTTTATCCTAAGTTAAACTATTTAAATTTGATCAGGTTTATATAAAAAAATAATTGGAATGTCTAATGTTTTTTTACATGGGAATTAATGACTTCAAGTATGCATGCTATCAAAATATATTCGATAAAAATCTAGTGATGCTTATTAAATATGATAAAATATAAGCATCTTTTCATGCAAATTTTGTCAAAATTTAAGGCATTTGACTTAGTATGAATCCATCATCATCATTTTTGGGACGAGTAGGGATGGTACATGGTAGCCAGATTGCCTGAATGGTTTGAATGCGCCCTTAGCTTTAACTATTTAGATCTGTCCTATGATTATGAAATCCTTAAATACTCAATAGAGCTGTAGTGATGACCTATTTCTTTTGAGAAATATATGTACGCCATGCAAAAGAACAATGCCATATGGGAATCAAACCCTGGGCTCGACTAAGTTTATACATAACGATATGATAATGCTCCACTGTGGGCATCCATCTCTCATCTATACGCCGAACGCTACGTGGCCTTACGTTGTCCACGTATTTTACCCACCACACAAATATCCTTTTCGGTTCTATCTCGTCTCTCTCTCCTCCGTCTCTCCATTCAAAGCATAAGGGAGAGGAAGGATGTCCAGGACAAAACACGCCCGATGCATGGCCGCCATGCTCCATTCGTGCCTCCGCTCGCCGCCTCGGGTTCGCGCAAGTGTGGAGACCGAGCTGGTGCCCTCTCTCCCTCTCTCATTTGCTCGCCCTTGCTCCTCTCCCTCCTGCTCTGCTCGAGAGCGCAGGCACCAAGCGCCATGGCCGCCTGCCCAGCTTCCATGGCCACCGCTAGCTCCAATGCCTCCAAGCGCCCTCCTCCATGCAACCTCCATCCAAACCGACCACCCTATCGGCTTCCTTAGCCCGCCGTAGCTTGCGCCTCTTCGTCGACATTAACCGCCCCGCTGAGCTCCGTGCCGCCGACATCTACACGTCGTCGCTGAGCTCTGCTCGCACAACCGCCGATGAGCCATGTGTTACCGACAAGCTCTACGCCGCCGATGAGCTCCGCACTGGCGACCTCCAGGGCATTGAGCTTCGTGCCGGCGTCGAGCTCCGCGTCGACGAGCTCAATTCGCCCAAGCAGCAATAAGATGTTGCGCTGAAAAGCGCATGTTGCAAGCGTGTGTTTCAGGTGTTTCATATGTATGTTGCAAGTGTTTCATGTGAATGTTGCAAAAGTAGATCGGGATGTTGCATATGTTGCAATGGCTATACACGTATGTCACAAGTGTTTGTTCCAAATGTTTCGGCCATTTCAGACGTATGTTGCAAGAGTTTTATCTGGGTGTTGCATATGTTTCACACTTAATTATGTTGTAAGTGTTTTATCCGGATGTTGCATATTTTCACACATATATTGCAAGTGTTTCATCTAGATGTTGCATATGTTTTGCAATAGCTGCACACGTGTTTTTCTCGTGTTTCAGACATATGTTGCAAGTGTTTCAACTATTTTCGGACGTATGTTGCAAATGTTTCCTCTAGATGTTACAAAAGTAGATCTGGTGTTGCACATGTTGCAGTATGACCCATCTGTAGCAACCGCCTTCTACCCGCCTGCATGCGCGTGGGTGTGGAGGGGGCACGGGCGGTAGGCACGGGAAACCGTGCGGGTGTAGATTGAGACGGAGTGGCATGGGAGACGGTGCGGTGCAGGACACGGAGCGACGCGGGCCCCCACATAAAGCAGGCAGAGACGTACGGGCGGGCGCAGCAGGATGCCTATGCGAAGTAGGCGCGAGCATCCGGACACTAGCCCTCGTCCGGACGTCTGGGTGCCGGCCTCTTTCCGATAATGGTATATAATAATCTTGACTCTATATAAATCTGGACCTCCAATCTTATCCATTCCCTGTCCCCTCGTCCGCTTCTACCATTGCATCCCCCACGGTGCCATCACATCTTAGCATCGGGTGATGCATATCCCCAGTACCACTTTCTCTCCGTGGCTAATCAGCAGCAGCACTATAAGTTTGCTTGATAGAGATGGATGGAAAATCTCAATTTGCCCTTCAATGAAGATTCTAAAATTACTGATCTACTCTTATTCAGAATAAATAAATATAGGGAAAATCCGAAATTGCTCTACCTATTTTAGTACTAGTCATACATATTTTTAGTCCTGTCCCTATCTATTTGGTATTTCTAGATACTTTTATATGTGTACTTTCTATTTTTACACAATTCGATCTCGTCGTATAAATGGCCCATATTTTCTCCCCGTTGTAAAATTTCTCCTTATTTTATCTTTTCAGCAAATAATGGACTATGCAGTAAATTTTCTCTAGACCTTCTGTACTGGTTAGGCTGTGTTGTAGGGTTAATTGAACCGCAAGTTTCGGTAGAACAGACAAAAATTATGCTACCCTAAAAATGTCAAGCTCTTCACTCTTCAGTTCCCTGTGAACCTAAACCCATTCCCTTTGCCGACAGCGCACTCCCACAGTCCCACTGGTTTCGCCCGGGTCCACATCATATGGTATGGTATGTTCTGTGGCTGAGCTCCAAAGTCCAAAAGTCCAAAGATTAGTGAATTACGAAGGCGACCAAACAGACGGCCCCGCTCCTGTGCTCTGCTCATGGCAGACAATTCCCTTGGAAAGCGCAGCGGAGAAATTCTGGAGATCCAAACCCCGGCACGAAGCTAGGCGAACTGCAGCCTGCTGGTCGACATCTAATCCATTTCTTGCCGCTTCAGCTTCAGGTATTGCTCTTCTTTCAGTTGCATCCTGGTTACTTGGTGAGAGTCTTCCTCAATCGACTCGACTGGAAGAATAGTTCTTGATTCTTGACGCCTTACCCTCACTTTCTCTGGATTTTCTCTTGCAGTGTTGAGGGGGACTGGTGTCTGGTGTAGACGTGTAATTGGAGGGCTGAGCTTGGATGCGGCGAAGATGAGCAGAAGATACGGGGCTGACAGCGGGAGGGCTGCCTCAGGTGATGCAGAGCTGCATTGACCTCCTTACCAATCTTCAGAATTTCACTGTTAATATTCGCTTATATTCAGTGATGCGTACGCCACATGTTATATGCGTGTGATTACTCAACATCACTTGCTAACCGGAAACAAAACATACTATCTCTTAGCAGTTAGCACTTGCTCTAAGCCTCTAACGTAGCTCATGTTCCTTACCCCAAAATCAGATATGACAAGGAAGCTCAGAGAGTTGCTGCAAAAGAGCGACAACCGCATATGTGCTGACTGCAGTGCACCTGATCCGAAATGGGCGTAAGTACTCTGCTCTTGACTTCAATATGTGAGCATTTCGATGTGAAGTATTACTAGGCATATATCTGAACATATTAGAGTTTGAGTAATTGTCAAGGTTTTTTTGTTTGGTAATCCCAATGTTATGCATAGTCATTGCTCAATCTTACATACATCAATATCTTTGATCCGTTGACTACTTGTCTCCTTGCGAATAACTAACTCTGTTCCTGCAGATCAGCTAATATTGGAGTATTCATTTGTCTACAATGCTCTGGTGTTCACAGAAGCCTTGGGACACATGTTTCAAAGGTTATTCATTGCAAATAGGAATAATGTTAATTCTTGCGCTCTAGTACGTGTATGTGAGTAGAAGCAAAACATTTTAAATGGCAAGATGATTGTATGTACTTTTGTCACTCTTTTTTCAAAATTATGATGCGCTGTAGCAGCTTGAAGAATGTTCTGGTTGAAGCGAATTTCTGCTTGACACAGGTGCTGTCAGTCAGTCTAGATCAATGGGCAGATGATGAGATCAACTCCATGATAGAAGTTGGTGGAAACTCTTATGCTAATGCTATATATGAAGCATTTCTGCCAGAGGGCTATCACAAGCCGCATCGAGATTCTAGCCAGGAAGAGAGAGCTGATTTCATCAGGTACCTGAGATAAGCAAATATTTTGCTTGGGGAGTATTAAAAATTACAATGCTAAGAGTCGGTAAGTTTAGTTTTTGACAACATTTAGCTAGCCATTCAGTTTAAAATATGAGAAGCTGTCTTTTGTCTCAACCACTATAGCTAATCTGCACCTTACAATTTCACTAATTAAAGAGCTTAGTACGAATAATAGATCAGTCCTATGCAAAAGAAATACGTACTTGATATAGTAACCGCTGAACATGAGTAGTTTTTGCAACCTCTCAGGTCGAAGTATGAGCTGCAAGAATTTCTGAAGCCAAGCCTAAGGTTAGTTTCTAATAAGGGCTCTTTAGAGGCTACCGGCTCTCGGAAACATACGGGCAGTAATGTCTCTCTTTCTGCTAGTTTCAACAGTGAGGTAAAGTTTGACTTAACTGTTAGTTAAATTTGGCTATATAAAAGAGTCAATTTTGATCTTCAATGACGCAATGCCCTTTTAAGCATCCTTTGCTTCATATATTTTGCAGGCTGGAATGGTTGAGTTTATCGGAATACTAAAAGTTAAAGTAATAAGAGGGACTAAATTAGCTGTAAGAGACCTGATAAGTAGTGACCCCTATGTTGTACTGACCCTAGGACAACAGGTATTGCATTTCACCAAATTGATTAATCCTAGCTGAAAGATTCCTGATTGTTTATCCTTGTCCCATTCAGACCATTTCAGTTGATATGAGCATTGCTCTCTGCAGAAAGCAAAGACTTCTGTGATTAAACGTAATCTGAATCCTGTTTGGAATGAAGAGCTTAAGCTGTCAGTTCCTCAGCAGTACGGACCTCTGAAGCTTGTAAGTCCACACTCCTTATTACAAACATGTTAACCATAAACTTCAGATTCAGAAGTAATAGCATCTAACAAACTCCTTTCCTCTCTTTCACAACCCAGCAAATGTTCGACCATGACATGCTATCAAAGGATGACAAAATGGGCGATGCCGAGATTGACCTGCAGCCGATGATCAGTGCAGCTACAGCGTTTGGCGACCCTGACCTACTCGCGGACATGCAGATCGGCAAGTGGCTCAAGTCCCCAGACAATGCGCTGGCAAGGGACAGCGCCGTCAATGTGATCGGTGGCAAGGTCAAGCAGGAGGTCTCTCTGAGGCTGCAGAACGTGGAATCCGGGGAGGTAGAACTGGAGCTGGAGTGGATACCTCTCAATCAGTAGAATTCAAATTCACCTATATGTGATGCATGTTTCATGTTTGTGACATAAGTCGTGATGTCCTTGGTCATCTTCAGAGATTGTCTGGATGCCTGCAGTGTTGTAGACTATCCTGTTCGGCAGAGCGTAAACAATCGTGGATTATTTACTGCTGGCTGGTTTGGTGTGAGAGAAAAATACTGTTCCGGCTTATAATCCACGATCGTATACGAGCAAGCGAACAGGTCTTTGCGACTGTGATGCTAATGGAACATTTTAATAATTAGGTAGAATTGTAATTTGAGGACTCAATGACTCGTAAAGCAATGAAAGATTACTCTAAAACACTGCAGGCATCCTGACAATCTGAACATGAGGTCGCTTGTGATCTTTGGACTTTGGGGACTAACCCCAAGGTTACGAAGACGGTCCGCGAGCTCATCGACCGTGGTTGGGTCGTTATCGGTGGCGCTCGTGACGGCCGCCGCGCCGGGCGCCGGCAGGAGACGGCAGGGTCGACGGGGGCGGAGACGGGGTCCTTGTGCAGAGACCAGAGATCAGCCTAGCAAATCAACGGCGTAGTGGGCTGGAGGCAGATTAGGCCGGAGAGCAGGAGGGCACCTCACCGTGGGCTTACCAACTGGGCCGGCCTATCCTCGCAGGTCGCGCCAGCAGCCCACGTATAGTTGGCGCCGCGGACGGACTCCATGTCCGAGTCGACGCGGCCTCCATCCATAAAAGCCAGGGGCAGGGAAGGTTGGGCTGGCCTCTTGCCACCGCCCACCGTTGGCCAGTCCACGTCTCCGATGAACGCGCCGCCCGATCTCCTCCCTCCCCTCCAATTGCACGCAGCCGTCGTTGCGATTGACGGAGGACACGCATCCGGTTCCTGCGTCTCCTGCAAGTGGTGGTGGATCTGGAAGGGATCACAGTCCTAATAAGACTAAGATGGGGCAGGCGGTCGTATCCTCGTGCAAGACGAGACGACGGTGCCTATGCAAATTCAGCCAGGTTCCCTTTCGCCGCCTATAGATGGCCATCGGGCTAGCCCGGCTCGGCACGGCACGGGCACGGGCCAAACACGGCCCGTAGGGTGTCAGACCAGCACGACATGTCGTGCCTCTGTGGGCCTCGTGCCTGGCCTTCGGCCCAAGAACAGCACTATGGACTGAATTTAGTGCCGTGTCGGTCCGTTGAGCCCAGACAAAACTGCGGGCCGTGCCAGCCCACAACGCCGTGACCTCAAAACACCTAAAAAAAATACACTGTTCAAACACTTATCATATTTCACAGTTGTTGTCACAGAAAAGTTACAGAGATTGAATTCTCTCATCCATTCACAAATCACAAGTCACAACTCAAACAAAACAACAATCTGTGAACGGTCAAACACTTAACACAGAGCCACAGGAGAATTTAAAAGATAAATGAGTTGTTTGTGCAATGCTGCCTCATTAAAAAACTTTCTAGGTAAAACTCATCCTTTTGAGAAACTCTAGAAAAAAAGAGAGTGCAGCACAGCTCTTAATAAAGTCTTAAACCATTGTTCAAATATCTCAGATACAGATAACATATCACTCTCATGTCTCACACAGACGTGCCAGCAGAAGCCATAGATGCAAAAGTGCCAGCAGAAGCAGCCCCAGATGCATCTTCATCAAGATAGAAATTCTCGAATGAGTCTTCTAACTCTTGGTTATCAACAGCATGCTGCAACCTTTTTTCTTCTAACTCCCAATCCTTTATGTAAGTCAACATCTCCATAGTTTTAGGCAACAAGCGTCGTCGCCGCTCTTCAATTATCCTTCCAGTGAAGCTGAAACATGATTATGAAGAGACAGTAGAAACAGAAACAGACATAATATCTCTAGTCATTATAGAAAGTATTAGAAAGGTTAGTTTGTGGTCACGTCACCAGAAAAGTAAATCAAAGTCATCCTCATATATAGTGACATTGTCACTGTCCAAATAAGCTGAGAGCTTACAAGCAGCAGCAGAAGCAGACAGAGAGATGGAGTGGGGGCAGAGGAACACAAAAAAAATATTCTTATATGGAAGCAAGTGTTTAAGCTTAAGATATATAGCATTCCATCTAACATCCATATCTAAGCTCAACTTTCTAGATCTAACACCCTGAGCAGTGCAGTATGTGGCAGAATCGTCCAAAATAACATGCTTTCGGAGGCGCTTGTCTTTCACTAGACACTAAGCACCACGAAAGTAAGCTACACCAGACGATTCCGTTGAGCATACCCCAAGAGAGAACTCGAACAATCCACGTTTTTCATCTAGAATCCAATAATGAGAACGAGTTTACAATACTTAGTCCATTTCATACAACAAGAGTTCTCGGAAATACATTAAGACAATACCAAGTTCAGAGTGCGGAATTTAAACAGTAGAATTGAAATAAACATCTAACGATAAGATACAAGGATCCGTCTATGCCCACCAGAAAGAATCCTCCACACAACAACCACTCCTCAAGCTGTACCTGCAATAGGGGTAAATAAACCTTGAGTATACAATGTACTCACAAGACTTACCCGACTAGTGGGAATAATTTCCCGACTTCAAAGGATATGATAAGCTTTATAGTTTGCTAAATTTCCTTTTTGCGAAAAGCATTACTAGTAGTGAATCCTTATGTATGTGTTTTATTAGCAGTCATGATTAGTTCATTAGCTAACCATTCTATGTAAACACCTGTTCTACTTTCAAGCAAGAGTTGAGCAATCAGATCCATTCATCCCCTTTCATCTTCCAGTTCTTACTACGGTGCTAGACCAATGTATCACAGCTGGGTACCCCAAAACATACACCCTGCTTGTACCCTAAGCACAAGCAAGACCAACCCACCACTCTCATGTCTAGGGGTCTAGGTCCCCGTCCAAACTTGGACTCTAAGCCCCCACTCCTGAGTCCCGGACTCAGTGTGGTGCTTAGACCTCCACCATCCCCACCTCCAATCAGTCCGTCCAGAAAGAGCCGGAACCCATGATAAAAGAGCAACGAGCCTTCCCGCTCACATAAGTAAGTATATGCTTAGGATAATAAGTCTGTGACCTGACTACCATCCACAGCAACGGACGATCCTTAACCGACACGGACAGGAAAAACAGTGTAACCAAGCTATGCCCCGTTAGCCGTGGGACATAACCTATTACACCCACCAATACCCGTACCATATCCATGTCCGGTCTCCATTTCCTTTCACCATTTTATCATGAGAGTAATAATAATAATCACCTATTGTGAGTAACAGCAGGTTACTCACGCTACCGATAGCCTAAGCATAGCAGCTACTCGACCTATGCTAGTAGGACTCATAGGTAGGTTTATCTATGCATGTAGTTTTAATATAAATCATGTAACGTAAATGCACATCACATATATATATATCCAGTGATTATTCAAAATAAGGGTTATGCACCGAGGCTTGCCTTAGGCAGGCGGATTGTCAGCTATGTCAATCGCCGTTGGTTGTGGGGCTTCCTCCTGTACAAGAACCTCCTCCTCATACTTCTCGATCACCTCCTCGTACTCCTGCTCTCCGGCGGTCACAAACTCCACCAACTCGTTCTCTACATGCATGCAATGATGATGCAACATTTAGTATTTTAGTAACAACAACTCTTAAAATAAGAATACACATGCTAAGCTACTAAGCTAGCTCTAATGACTAAGATACTAAGTTAATCATCATCTCTACCAAATAGATTTCAAGCTCACCCTACAAGTGACTAACTTTTATAAACCAATATCATGCCATTATTCCTTTAGCCTTAATGGGTATTTAGCTACCATATTAAGTAGTCTATTCTAGAGCTACAAAAATTATAGTGAGCACATAATAATACAATGAAGCTACTATAGAAGTTTTTTGCTGTCACCAATCTACCACAAAAAATCCTACAATTATTAATCAAAATAATACTAAGCATCCCAACTATTTTAATGCTCCTTAGCAACCACACAAATACGTATGAACTAACTATACTAACAGGTAGACAATGTTTTTGGGAACCTAACAAAATTAGTTTCACAATTTTTGGATATCTACATTATTTTATATTAATTATCAAACTTTAGCTCAGAATTAAAGTGAAAAGCTATTTCTATTTTTCACAAAAAAATAAACCGATTTTTGCCCAAAGCGGCCCACGTGGGGCTTAGCCCACGTGTGGAGGCGGCCCGCGGCGGGGAGCCCACGTGCGCTGGCACTCTTGCAAAAATGCCCTCGCGTTATCTGACTATAGCACGAAGACTACACGTACTATTTCTATAGACAGCGATTTTACAACGGAGCCCTCATATCTTTTCACCTTCGCACCGGATGTAACAGAACCGACCAAATCATAAGAACGTAAGTACAAAAATAATCACCGAAGTGATCAAATTCCTGTACTTAAGCTCCCATAATCCCGGTAGTCCGGAAATCACGAAGGATTTCAACCAACTTTCGACATACAAACCAAGACCATAGTGATTCAACACAACACATCATTCGTTACAACATTTCACAAGTGGCATCCGGATTACATCCATCAGAGTGCGAATAAAATATTACAAACCAAGTTCAAATTTGCGGAAGCAACATAGTTTAGTACATAACTTCATAGTTTCAAATACATTGTCAGATCTTAGTCATGTCCCACAAAAGCATTATCAGGTACGAGAACTAGGAGAGACCGCGCCCAACGGTCTAGTCTTCATTCCCAGTCGGGAGAAGGCAATACTTGCAGCAACCAAAGTAGAACTGGTCACCTACAACAGGTGGGAGATAAACCCTGAGTGCGAGAAGGTACTCAGCTAGACTTACCCGACAGTTGGATGGTCATGCTCTCACAACTCCCACTTACTAGAGCGTAGAGGTATTTTGATCCATACATTACCACCCAAGCGGATGGCATCCATACAATAGCACGCCGTATGGACAACGAAATGGAAACAAGTAGGAACCCCCAAGTTAGTACTTTAATAAGCCACCTAAGAGTCCTTCTTTTGGCATAAAGGATATGACC